AAAAAATTTATGATAAGAACATTTAGAAGTTTTCAAAAGCAAATCCTTGAACTACAGAAATCCTTAATGGACAAGATTGAAAATCTCTCTCGTGAAAATGAAATTTTAAGGAAGAGTCAAAATGAAACTCAGAAACTAGTAGAACAGGAAAGTGTGATAGTGAAGAGAAATCAAAATGAAATGAAGAACTCAATAGATCAAATGACAAACACATTAGAAAGCCTTAAAAACAGAATGGGTGAAGCAGAAGAGAGAATGTCGGACTTAGAAGATAGAGCACAGGAAAACATACAGTCAAACCAAAGAAAAGAAGAGGAAATTAGAAACCTAAAAAATATTGTTGGGAATCTACAGGATACTATTAAAAAAACCAACATTCGAGTTCTAGGAGTTCCTGAAGGCATGGAGAGAGAGAAAGGATTGGAAGGCCTTTTTAGTGAGATACTAGCAGAGAACTTTCCAGGTTTGGAGAAGGACAGAGATATCCTAGTACAGGAAGCTCATAGAACCCCCAATAAACATGACCAAAAGAGATCCTCACCACGACACGTGGTAATTAAACTTACCACAGTGAAACATAAAGAAAAGATCCTAAAATGTGCAAGAGAGAAACGTCAGATTACTCTCAGAGGATCTCCAATCAGACTCACAGCTGACTTCTCATCAGAAACCCTACAAGCTAGGAGGGAATGCCGAGACATAGCACAGGTGCTAAGAGAGAAAAATTGCCAGCCCAGAATATTATATCCTGCCAAGCTCTCATTTGTGAATGAAGGTGAAATAAAGACCTTTCATAGCAAACAGAAATTGAAAGACTTTGTGGCCACTCGTCCGGCCCTGCAAAAGATACTTAAAGATGTGCTACACTCAGAAACACAGAAACACGGCCATCAATATGAAAGAAGGGAAAGGAAGAACACCTACCAGTAAAAGAGCATGGGAAGCTCAAAGCATATACTAGAAAATATTTCCGGGAAAATGGCAGGGCAAAGTCACTACGTATCAATAGTCACATTGAACATTAATGGTCTGAATTCTTCAGTTAAAAGACACCGTTTGGCTGACTGGCTCACAGAACACAACCCAACTATTTGTTGCCTACAAGAAACACATCTCTCTAACAAAGAGGCATGCAGACTGAAAGTGAAAGGTTGGAAAAAGATATTCCATGCCAACAGAAACCAAAAAAAAAGCAGGTGTAGCCATATTAATATCAGACAGAATAAACTTTAATACAAAAACTGTTAAGAGAGACAAAGAGGGACACTATATAATGATTAAGGGTTCAATTCAACAGGAAGATGTAACTATTATAAATGTATATGCACCTAATTACAGGGCACCGGTCTATTTAAAACATATGTTAAGGGACTTAAAGGGAGATTTAGATTCCAATACAATAGTACTGGGGGACTTCAATACTCCACTCTCAGAAATAGACAGATCATCCGGACAGAAGATCAACAAGGAAACAGCAGATTTAATTGACACTATTGCCCAAATGGATCTAACAGATAAATACAGAACTTTCAACCCTACATCTACAGACTTCACATTCTTCTCAGCAGTGCATGGAACCTTCTCTAGGATTGATCACATACTAGGCCATAAAGCAAGTCTCAGCAAATTTAAAAGAATTAGAATCATACCATGCAACTTCTCAGACCACAGTGGATGAAGCTGGAAATTAGCAACTCAGGAAACCCCAGAAAGTATGCAAACACATGGAGACTGAACAACATGCTCCTGAATGAACACTGGGTCATTCAAGAAATCAAAAGAGAAATCAAAAACTTTCTGGAAGTAAATGAAGACAACAACACAACATATCAAAACTTATGGGATAGAGCAAAAGCAGTATTGAGAGGCAAATTTATAGCAATAGGTGCCTATATCAAGAAATTGGAAAGGTACCAAAAAAATGAGCTTTCAGCGCACCTCAAGGACCTAGAAAATCTGCAGCAAACCAAACCCAAATCTAGTAGGAGAAGAGAAATAATTAAAACCAGAGAAGAAATTAACAGGATTGAATCCAAAAAACCATTACAAAAAATCAGCCCAACGAGGAGCTGGTTTTTTGAAAAAATAAACAAAATTGACACCCCATTGGCCCAACTAACTAAAAAAAGAAGAGAAAAGACCCAAATCAATAAAATCAGAGATGAAAACGGAAACGTAACAACAGACACCACAGAAATAAAAAGAATCATCAGAAATTACTACAAGGACCTGTATGCCAGCAAACAGGAAAACCTATCAGAAATGGATAGATTCCTGGACACATGCAATCTACCAAAATTGAACCATGAAGACATCGAAAACCTAAATAGACCCGTAACTGAAACAGAAATTGAAACAGTAATAAAGGCCCTCCCAACAAACAAAAGCCCAGGACCAGATGGATTCACTGCTGAATTCTACCAGACGTTTAAAGAAGAACTAATCCCATTTCTTCTCAAACTATTCAGAACAATAGAAAAAGAGGGAATCCTCCAAAATTCTTTCTATGAAGCCAGCATCACCTTAATCCCTAAGCCAGAGAAAGATGCAGCACTGAAAGAAAATTACAGACCAATATCCCTGATGAACATAGATGCAAAAATCCTCAATAAAATTCTGGCCAATAGAATACAACAACACATCAGGAAAATCATCCACCCACACCAAGTGGGATTCATCCCTGGTATGCAGGGATGGTTCAACATTCCCAAATCAATCAATGTGATTCACCACATTAACAGACTGCAGAAGAAAAACCATATGGTTATCTCAATTGATGCAGAGAAAGCATTTGATAAAATACAACACCCTTTCATGATGAAAACTCTAAGCAAATTGGGTATAGAAGGAACATTCCTCAATATAATCAAAGCAATTTATAAAAAACCCACAGCCAGCATCCTATTGAATGGGGAAAAGTTGGAAGCATTTCCACTGAAATCTGGCACCAGGCAGGGATGCCCACTCTCACCACTGCTATTTAACATAGTTCTGGAAGTTTTAGCCAGAGCCATCAGACAAGAAAAAGAAATCAAAGGAATACAAATCAAGAAGGAAGAAGTCAAACTATCCCTCTTTGCAGACGATATGATTCTGTACTTAGAGGATCCAAAGAACTCTACTAAGAGACTATTGGAACTCATAGAGGAGTTTGGCAAAGTGGCAGGATATAAAATCAATGCACAAAAATCAACAGCCTTTGTATACACAAGCAATGCCATGACTGAGAAAGAACTGCTAAGATCAATCCCATTCACAATAGCTACAAAAACAATCAAATACCTTGGAATAAACTTAACCAAGGACGTTAAAGATCTCTACGAAGAAAATTACAAAACCTTAAAGAAAGAAATAGAAGAGGATACCAAAAAATGGAAAAATCTTCCATGCTCATGGATTGGAAGAATCAATATCATCAAAATGTCCATTCTCCCAAAAGCAATTTATAGATTCAATGCAATCCCAATCAAGATACCAAAGACATTCTTCTCAGATCTAGAAAAAATGATGCTGGAATTCATATGGAGGCACAAGAGACCTCGAATAGCTAAAGCAATCTTGTACAACAAAAACAAAGCCGGAGGCATCACAATACCAGACTTCAGGACATACTACAGGGCAGTTGTCATCAAAACAGCATGGTACTGGTACAGAAACAGATGGATAGACCAATGGAACAGAATTGAAACACAAGAAATCAATCCAAACATCTACAGCCAACTTATATTTGATCAAGGATCTACAACTAATTCCTGGAGCAAGGACAGTCTATTCAATAAATGGTGCTGGGAAAACTGGATTTCCACGTGCAGAAGCATGAAGCAAGACCACTACCTTACACCTTACACAAAAATCCACTCAACGTGGATTAAAGACCTAAATCTACGACCTGACACCATTAAGTTATTAGAGAACATTGGAGAAACCCTTCAAGATATTGGCACAGGCAAAGAATTTCTGGAAAAGACCCGGGAGGCACAGACAGTCAAAGCCAAAATCAACTATTGGGATTGCATCCAATTGAGAAGTTTCTGTACTGCAAAAGAAACAGTCAGGAGAGTGAAGAGACAACCGACAGAATGGGAAAAAATATTTGCAAACTATGCAACAGATAAAGGGTCAATAACCAGAATCTACAAAGAGATCAAGAAACTCCACAAAAACAAAACCAACAACCCACTTAAGAGATGGGCCAAGGACTTCAATAGACATTTTTCAAAAGAGGAAATCCAAATGGCCAACAGGCACATGAAAAAATGTTCAAGGTCACTAGCAATCAGGGAAATGCAAATCAAAAGCACAATGAGGTTTCACCTCACCCCGGTTAGAATGGCTCACATACAGAAATCTACCAACAACAGATGCTGGCGAGGATGTGGGGAAAAAGGGACACTAACCCACTGTTGGTGGGAATGCAAACTGGTCAAGCCACTATGGAAATCAGTCTGGAGATTCCTCAGAAACCTGAAGATAACCCTACCGTTCGACCCAGCCATCCCACTCCTTGGAATTTACCCAAAGGAGTTTAAATTGATAAACACAAAAGCGGTCTGCACCCTAATGTTTATTGCAGCACAATTCACAATAGCCAAGACCTGGAACCAACCTAAATGCCCATCAATGGTAGACTGGATAAAGAAATTATGGGATATGTATTCTTTAGAATACTATACCGCAGTAAGAAACAACGAAATCCAGTCATTTGCAACAAAATGGAGGAATCTGGAACACATCATGCTGAGTGAAGTAAGCCAGTCCCAAAGGGACAAATACCATATGTTCTTCCTGATCGGTGACAACTGACTGAACACCAAAAAGGAAACCTGTTGAAGTGAAATGGACACTATGAGAAATGGTGACTTGATCAGCATAGCCCTGACTGCTAATGGCAACTTAATACATTATCCCTCATAGTATTTTTTTTTTGTCTGTTCTACTTAATATGACTGGTTTAATTCTGTAATTATCACGCAGTTATTCTTAAGTGTTGAAAATTAACTGAAATGTGATCCCTGTTAAACATAAGAGTGGGAATAAGAGAGGGAAGAGATGTATAATTTGGGGCATGCTCGGGCTGACTTGCCCCAATTGGTAGAGTTGGAAACATACCAGGGGATTCCAATTCAATCCCATCAAGGTGGCATGTGCCAATGCCATCTCACTATTCCAAGTGATCAATTTCAGTTCACAATTGATCATAATGAAAGGACTAAGAGTCAAAGGGAGCACATAAACAAGTCTAGTATCTGCTAACACTAACTGACAGAATAAATAAAGGGGAGAGTGATCCAACATGGGAAGTGAGATACTCAGCAGACTCATAGAATGGCGGATGTCCTAAATAGCACTCTGGCCTCAGAATCAGCCCTAAAGGCACTCGGATCTGGCTGAAAAGCCCATGAGATTATTTCAGGCATGGAAAGCCAAGACACTCTGGCAAAAAGATCTCTGTGAGTGAGATCCCAGTGGAAAGAACAGGTCTTCAAAGAGGGAGGTGCCTTTCTCTGAAGGGAGGAGAGAACCTCCACTTTGACTATGACCGTGTCTAAACAAGATAGGAGTCGGAGAACTCAAGGGGCTTCCATAGCCTTGGAAAGTCATGACTGGAGCATAGGGAGATTACTGATGCCATAAACAGGAGTGTCAATTTGTAAAGTCAACAACAGGAGTCACTGTGCACTTACTCCTCATGTAGGATCTCTGTCCTTAATGTGCTGTACACTGAGGCTTAATGCTATAACGAGTACTCAAACAGTATATTTCACTTCGTGTTTCCTATGGGGGTGCAAACGATTGAAAATCTTTTACATAATTGTACACTAAAACTGATCTTCTGTAAAAAAAAAAAAAAAAATATTATCAATTCCCAACTTGACTCTCACGGGGAATTAAACATGACAATAGGTCTGATCTGATTTCATCATCATTTAAAAAAATCATCTATTATTTTTCACTTTATGTTTCTGTGTGGGAGCAAACTGTTGAAATCCTTACTTAAGGTATACTAAGCTGATCTTCTGTATATTAAGATAATCGAAAATGAATCTTGATGTGAATGGAAGGGGAGAGGGAGTGGGAAAGGGGAGGGTTGTGGGTGGGAGGGACGGTATGGGGGGGGAAGCCATTGTAACCCATGAGTCGTACTTTGGAAATTTATATTCATTAAATAATAGATAAAAAAAAAATCTAACGGAAAGGATTTTGAATGCTTTCACCAGTAAGATGTGCTAATTGTGGAGATAAATATGCTTACCATAATTTGAACCTTACACAATGTATATACTAGATGTCACGTAAATATGTACAATTTTGTGTCAATTTGAAAAATGATTTAAAAATGTGGTGCTGTCTTGAAATACTTAATCTATATAAAACTGCAAATGTTATGAACCATTCATATATGGCATAGACCCTAATTTTGGTTTATGAATTATAATAATGTGTAAGCATATAAATGTATAACATGATGAAATACAGATATGTTAACTATTGGTTTAAGGCATAAGAAATTGTATCTATCATATTATTAACTTCACATTTTATTGATATTAGCATGCATTTTTTAATTCTTTCTAATGAGCAAGAGTGCTTTAATAATTTAGTATATATATTAATAAAATGAATGTTAAATACAGATAAGATATAGCAAAATCCTCTGCTCTGGCATGGAAAAGTACAATTTTACTTATAATGCACGCCAATTATCATGTTAACCTGACATACCATAGGAAATTGATGTTATTCTTAGGATATTTATTGCTAGCATCATGATCACGATTATTTCATCTACAGCAGCAACCTTGTTAGCTTCTTACTCCCATCATCCCTTCCAGCATTTACCCTGTGTTAAGGAGTTTGTTAATCACTGCATTGTAAATTGGAAGCAGATGGAATTTATATAAGGGGTTTGCTTTTGTGAAGCATTGGTGGCTGAGTGACTACGTACAAGCCATTTAATCTCTTTGTAGTTAACACTCTAAATATTATAAATGAGAATAATAATTCTTACACTGTTTTATTTGTGAAGATTTAAATATTGATAGAAAGGTGAGCACTAACATGATTAAGTACCACAATAATTTTATGCATAACTGATTTATCTTTATTTCTAAAGGATTTCTGAGATGGCTATCATGAAAATACTTGTACAATGAAGCAATAAATCATAAATAAAAGTAAGTAAGTAGAGTACAAATAAAGACAAACTACAAGTAGTTCACCTACTTGGATTAGGAAAGGTTCCAGGACTGAATTCTGGCTTGTTCAACAGCAAGTTGCAATGGTTCTCAGATTTTGAAAATGAAACTAACATACAGACATTTCATAAAATAGAATAAATAGGTAAAAAGAACATTTTTGTATTGATTCTAACAGAACATTTTTCAAATGGGGTTATAAACCTGAGTATCAGATTATTCTGGTTCCTAGGAATGCAAATAATACCTGGTTTAACAGAGAATTTTGTTGTAAAACAAAACAATATCCCCCAGAATAAACAGTGCTGATTCTTTAAAATGAAAGGAACCTGCATTGGTGTGTCTAATGATTACTTTCTCTTTTTTTAAGTGTTTATTTTATTTATTTGAAAGGCAGAGTTACATAAAAAGAGAAGGGAGAGAGGGAGAGAAGGGAAGAAGGGAGAGAAAGGTGATGAGAGAGAGAGAGAGCGAGAGAGAGAGTCCATCTTCCAACTGCTGGTTCACTCCCCAGATGCCACAATGACCAGCTTTGGACCAGACTGAAAACAGGAGCCAGGAGATAGGAGCTTCTTCCAATCTCCCACATTGGTGCAGAAACCAAAGTACTTGGGCTGTTTTCCACTGCTTTCTTGAGCCCATTACCAGGGAACTTGATCAGAAGTGCTACAACTTGATCCAGTGCCCCATGGGATGCTGGCATTGCAAACAGCAGCTTTACTGACTATGCCACAACGGCATGTTCTGCTATCATAGCCAACATGAAACAAATAGCTCTTAATTTTTTTAAAGGTTTATTTATTTATTTGAAAGGCAGAGTCACAGAGGCACAGGCAGAAAAAGGTATCCATCTGCTGGTTCACTTGCCAGATGGCCACAATGGCTGGAACTGCACCGATGCAAAGCCAGGAGCCAGGAGCCAGGAGCTTCCTCCAGGTCTCCCATGTTGGTGTAGTGGCCCAAGAACTTGAACCATCATCCCCACCATTTTCCCAGGCCACAGCAGAGATCTGGACCAGAAGTGGAGCAGCCAAGACCTGAACCAGCACCCACATGGGATGCTGGCACTGCAGGCGGCAGCTTTAACCACCATGCCACAGAGCTGGCCCTGCTCTTAAATTTAAATAGTATATTCAAGTAACACAGAAATTGCTTTATTTCTCTTTTTAGTTATGTTTCCTTAAACAGGATTTTGATACACCTTGGTGTATCAAGCAAAGAATGGGACAGAGCTTTATCAAAACTACAAGTCTAAGTGATATGCTTCAAAATAATTTTAATGTTATATGGTAAATACAATAATGGAATCTTTAACAGCATTTCCTTTAGTAGGGTTAATTAAACTCACAATGTCAAATATTAAAATACTCAACATATAAGGCAGTGTAACAACGGCGCTTTCTCTCTCTCTCTCTCTCTCTCACTCCCTCTCTCTCTCTTCCATGTAAGTGAAGTATGTATCATTTTATATAGGCCTTTTTACTAGTGACTCTTGATAGAAGTTTTGAAAACTGCTGAATAACTTTATACAGGAAATGATTCACAGACAATTTTACAAGCCAAACTGTATATTTGGTTTTGTGCTTTAGAATACACTCTCACCTTAAAAAAAAAAAAGATTTATTTTATTTATTTGAAAGGCAGAGTTGCAGAGACATAGGATGGAGAGACACAGAGGGAGAGATCTTCCATCCTCTGGTTCACTCCCAAAATGGCCACAATGACAGGGGCTGGGCCAGGCTGAAGGCAGGAGCCAAGAGCTTCTACTTGAGTGCAGGGAGCCAAGCAATTGGGCCAAATTTCACTACTTTCCCAAGTGTGCTAGCAGAGCACTGGATCAGAAGTAGAACAGCTGGGACTATAACAAAAGCCCATAGGTGATGCTGTCACTGCACGTGGCAGCTTAACCCTCTATTCCACGATGCCAGACCCCTACGCACCCACCGTTATTTACTGTTTCTGAATAAGTCAATTCATAGGACCCACTGAGTCCTAATAAATTATCTGTGAGTCAGAGCTATTGCAATGTAAAGTATACCAGATATGCCATTTTGCTACACTGAGTTGAATCCCTATCCTTTAAAACTCATATATAGGGAGTTGCCACTTGGCTTCCAAAATTAAGAAACATAACATATAATTGGATGAATGAAAAGAAAATTTACAGAAAATTTAAACCAACAGGTGATCAATATATTTAAATTTTCTGCCAGCTGATCACAGTGATTAGTCAGGCATCAGAGCCATTCTTATAGAGACAGTAGATATCATTTCATCATTGAAGAAAAATAGTGCAAACCAATTCACACTCTTTTCAATGATAATGCAGTTCTATGAAATGACATTTCTCAAAGAAAATAAATTTCCAGGGTTCCTATCATAATGTTAGTTATAATAGATAATCTACCAGTAAGTAAAGACATTAAGTTATTATAGAGTGTGATAAAATACTGAACAGTTCATATTTACAATTTCTGCACTAAAAATGTATTTTATTTTAATGGTATCATTTTCTTGAAATAATTTGTCTTTACAGTGTTAATCTGAGAAGAAATTAGCAAAGGTGGTAACTTAGAGTTCCGGTTAACTACAAGTCATAATATGGAACACTAATTTATCCCTTTCAAGAAATCATGGTCAACACCGTTAGTGATAAAAAGTGAAAAAATGCCCAAACTGCAATTTTATAGAAGAAATGTCCTTAATTACTTGCTGCAAGGCATGAATCACATCTTTGTTCCTTAGGCTATAGATCAGTGGGTTCAGCATAGGACTCAAAAATGAGTAAAAAACTGCAACGACTTTGGACTCCTCAACAGACTTCTCTGATGGGGGCCTTAAGTACATGCAGAAGAGGGTTCCATAAAATATGGTGACTGTGGTCAAGTGGGAACCACAGGTGGAAAAGGCTTTGTGCCTGCCTTCAGCAGAACGGATCCTCAAGATGGCTGCAAAAATGAAAAGGTAGGACAGAAGAATGATGAAGAGAGAACTTGAGAGGGTAAAGCCCGCAACGATGAACATTGCCATCTTTTTGACATAAGTGTCGGAGCAGGCCAGCATTATGAGAGGAGGATCAGCACAGTAGAAGTGATTGATTTCCAGGGAGCCACAGAAGGATAAGTGAAAAGTCAGCAGTGCCTGAGACAGTCCATTAAGAAAGCCGTAAATGTAAGGGAAGGCAACCAGAGAGATACAAGTGTTCTTGGACATTCTGGTGCTATAATGTAAAGGGCTGCAAATGGCTACATAGCGATCCAAGGCCATTGAAGCAAGGATATAGAACTCTGTAATCACCAGGGCAATGAAGAGAAGACACTGTGTGAAGCATCCAGTGTAGGAGATGGTCTTCCGGTCTGAGAGGAAATTGTTCAACATCTTTGGAGAAATATTGGAAGAATAGCAAATGTCTACAAAGGAGAGGTGGCCAAGAAAGAAATACATGGGCGTTTGGAGGTGGGAATTGGTCCTGATCAGCAGAATCATGCACAGATTTCCTGCCATTGTGATTACATAGATACCCAGAAAAACCCCAAACAGGATCTTCTCTAGTATTGGGTCATCTGTGAGTCCCAGGAGAATGAATTCTGTCACCGTGGTGTGGTTTGGAGTGGACATTTTCTTATTCCATAAAAACTGAAAGTGACAAAAAAGTGAGCTTCTGTCTTATTGAGACACTCATTTTATCATTTTCTCACTTATCTATTTCTCTAAAAGATAGCTGCTCTTCTCTTTTTAATAAACGCATCAGCATATCTATATAATATTTTCACAATATATCTCTGGATTACCTTTCTATCTACATTTCAAACACACACATACACATACCTCTATTTTTTTACAAACTTGAGCGCTATTACAAAAAAGCATACAAGGGTACTTAACTTTTGAAGATGGAAGTAAAATATAAATTTATAGTTCTTCAAAAAAAAGCTTTTAAAGTCACACATTGTTCCTTCATGATATACTTTTATCATAAACTTTTTCAGGACCTCTTTTATGTACATATTTCAGCTTCTTTGCCCCAAATTAAACTTAGCTTTCAATGTCATTTCCCATTACCTTTTGCAGTACCTTCAAATATGAAAATATATGTATATATATTCACTTAGTTATCTCCATACTTGATATTTTTCTCTAAACTTTATGGCAAACATTCAAAGGTAGGGAAGTAAGAAATTAATATAGCCAACTCATATTTATAATTTAAATGTACAAATGAAGAAAGCTGGATCCCCAGAATGCTTTCCATCTTATTATCCTATTGTTTCAGATACAAAAAAGAGGATGAATATTCAGTACCACATTTTCACTTAAAACCCACAGTTTTCAGCCTTAACTGAATGAATTAACAATGGATTTCTGAAATTTATCTCTTGATGTATGATTAAAAGGATATAACTCAAGAATCATTCTTGTTCCCCTGGTAATTTTCACCCATGTATTTGTGTGCACTGCAAACCTTGATTTATTCTGCTGTTTTGAGTGATGAAATTAATGCAGTGCAGAAATTCTCCATTCTCAGAGATCATGCAATGTAGAAAATCATGTTAAATGATACATAATGTTCATAAAAGCAAGGACTATGAAGAAATATGAAGGTGGGATACCCTTAGATATTCAGAGGAGAGCTATCTGAGAAAATAATATTGGAAGAGTAAATAAACAAAGCAAGAATCAAAGATGAGTATGCATATTTTTGGTTCACACATTCTTCTGTCACTAATCCACTCATGAAAATATTTCTTTAGGAATGCATGGATCATGTTTAAGTGTGCCCTCAGTTTCTAGATCAAGTCATTCTTTCTGTCTCAGTTCTGCTACAGAGTAGTATGACTGTAAAAATTATTACTCAAGAACTGTACCCTAAAGCCATTGTTTATTTGATTCACAAATAAATTCCTTTATCAGAAGAGCTTGTACGAAGTAATAGATTCTTTAGGGAGACAATGATCTGTGAATATATGAATGTAAAAGTCAAGGACGATTGCTGAAAAATTTTCCACATTGATAGGATACTATTTTCCACATTAAAAAGAAAGAAAAACTTTAATGAACAAATGTAGATAATAACCTACCTGTGAATATTGGCTCACCATATTTTATGAAAGCAAGGTGGGAATATTTATAATGTAATTCTTAGGTATTGCCTCTAGAGTATTTTTAAGGATAATTCTAAACAACCAATTAATTTTTTTTTTATTCCTCAAGAGCACAACGTTAATTTGGTGCTTTGATAAGCTGGTTTCTCCTTTGTGGCCAAAATCCTTACCTACTATTTGGATACATGTCTTGACATATATGTGCATGGGATCTTTAGCACAAAGAGAATTAAATGTCACTTCCAATTATGCAGAAGGCAGTAAAAACAGATAGACATATTGTAGGTTTTTAGTGTAGTAAACATAAGAATATTATACTTGTTATTATTAAGTTTTTTCTCTATAAACAGTGTGGGAGGTCATCTAAAGGAGTAAAATGTAGGATGATGTGGTAGGTGAGAGATCTGAGAGAAAATACATGATAGACCAGACAGCTTAAAATAATATAATCAGTGGAAGGAAGTTCTGGTGAGAGGGTTGATGGTCCTTTGGAGGAGAGACATTATGGGTTTATGTGGTAGTAATCTTCCATATTGAATTAATGTCATGAACATATGTTGAAACTAATACAAGGATGAAAACTAGGACCATTTATAAAATTGCCAATTCATCACATTTGTGATTTAAAATGAGGACTAAATGTATAAGAAAGAATAGTCAAACACTGTCATGGTGTTAGGATAAGGAAGATAAGGGTGTTTTCATAAGTCTATCTTCCAGGTCACAAGAGAGTTCCAGGTCCATGCAGTGAATTGAGTTATATCCACAAATGATGAATTACACTGTCAGAAATTAGTCAGTAAGATAGTTTATATCAATATCAAAATAAATATTGTTATTATTCCATGAAATTTGAAACTTGAGCATTTGCCATGTATTCTTTTTCTGAAATGGAAATGGAAAAAGTTTCTGTATTTCATACTAAATCCTTACATAAATTAAATTAATAAAATTTAAAAACTAAGACTTAAAAATTAAGCATAGCTATAGAATGAAAGGTTTTTTGCAGTATAAAATAGGCATGCTGATTCACTGACATTTAATGTGGACAACTTATTTTTTAGAGATCAGAATGACAGATTTTATTCTGAATAAATTTTGTTCTGAAAGACTTATTTATTGATATAGGTTAATAGATAACATTGTAAAAATCATCACATTTACAAAATGATTTTTCTAGAATAAACAGGATTGGCTCATTATAAGAAAAATAGGTTTACATATATACATATATGTGTGTGTGTGTGTGTGTGTGTATATATATATATATACTTAAGTATCTATTTCATGTCTGGAAGGGGATTATATCCATAACTACATTTTAGATGCTAATGCTTGGGAAGAGTAGAAACAAAGTCCAGATAAGGCTCTGAAGATGTGAGAGAGCTTGTCTTAATTAAAGAAGAGCTAACTAGTCCCGGTCGGGGCGCAGGATTCTTTCCCTCTTGCCCCTCTTCCAGGCCAGCTCTCTGCTGTGGCCCGGGAAGGCAGTGGAGGATGGCCCAAGTACTTGGGCCCTGCACCCCATGGGAGACCAGAAGAAGCACCTGGCTCCTGCCTTCGGATCAGTGCGGTGCGCCAGCCACAGCGCACAAGCTGTGGCGGCCATTGGAGGGTGAACCAATGGCAAAAGAAGACCGTTCTCTCTGTCTCTCTCTCTCACTATCCACTCTGCCTGTCAAAAAAAAAAAAAAAAAAAAAAAAAGCTAAATCAGCCGTAATGATAGGAGGGTATCAAGAATATATGTATAAAAAGTGAATATTCCCCAATAAACTTCCTGAATATGTACAAATTTCTGTCGCAGCGTCTGTTTGCCAGAAACCAAGTAAAGGCATCATGTGTGTATACATATATATTATATAGAGAAATTGAGATTGTGTATATAATCAAAAACTAAATATTGGAATTGGAAATTAAAAACAGATCAACCAATGCTAAATGATTTGATATTTTTAAAAGATACCACCTCACCCACTGTGTTGACTGACAAGATGGGTGCATGTACACATATGTAATGCTCTAGGATTAGGAAGTAGACCTCAGTTTATTTTTATGTTGCTTTTTTCAACATTTTATTGCTTTATTTTTGTTTTTGACAACTTTATGTAATTTTACTGTGATAATGTATTTTAATTCACATTGTAGTCAATGGCTTAATGCCTCTGTTAAATAAAAGATTCAATAAAATTAAGTTGAAAGATCACAGTTCAGCAGAAAAGTAGGCAAGGGCTATAAACAGTAATCAAGGAAAAAGATGTTCAACTTCATCATATAAAGTGAATTTTTAAATAGTCACAAAATCATTGAAACTATACTAGTATATAAATCCTATCAATTTGTTGTATTTGAGAGACAGAGACAGTAAAATAGGATGAGAGAAATGATAGAGATAGATTAAGATAGAGATAGAGATAGAGATAGAGATAGAGATAGAGATAGAGATAGGGAAGAGAGAGAGAGAGAAAGAAAGAGAGAGAGGAAAGAGAGAGAAACATTCTCATTTGCCATTTCACTTCCCCAATGCCTGCAAATGTCCAGGATGAATCAAGGCCAAAGCCTGGAATGCTGTTCAGATCTTCCATGTTGGTGACAGGGAGCAATTTCTTGAGCCATCACCTGCTGCCTCCTGAGATCTCCGTAACATGAAGCTGCAATCAAGAGCAACATTGAGACTCAAACCCTCACAAACTTATATAGGATGCAATCTACTAAACTGCTAGGCCAACTGTTTGCTTGATATACCTCATTTTAAATCATTTACTTTAACAGAGGGAAAGAGCTTAAGCAATCATAATAACATTAGTATGAAAAGTATCTTCTACATAACAAGGTGTTTGATAAAGTGGCTTTAGAGTATGCGTTTCTGTAAGATCTTCTTTATGACCCCTTTCACATCCTTATTTTTCAAACTGTATATGAAGGGGTTTAGCATGGGGATAACCACTGTATAAAATACAGAGACAATCTTGTCCTGCTCCATTGAGTAGCTAGATGTAGGGCGTAAGTACATGAAGAGAATCGTCCCAAAGAATATGGTGACAGCCATGAGGTGAGAGGCACAGGTGGAGAAAGCTTTGTACCTGCCCTCTGTTGAAGGTATTTTCAAGATGGCAATGAGGATACACAAGTAGGAAATGAAGACAATTGTAACACAGCTGATGATAACAAAACTGGAGAAAGCCATGATCACAATGCCATTGATGTGAGTGTCAGAGCAAGAGAGTTTGAGCAGGGGTGGAGTGTCACAGTAGAAATGGTTGATCCTATTTGAATCACAAAATGACAATCTGAAAGTTATCCCTGTGTGGATGGCTGCATTTCCAAAGCCTGCTAGGAAGGAAGTAGCTATCAACAAGAAGCAAATTCTCCCAGACATGATAACTGGGTAAAGCAGCGGGTTCCAAATTGCTGCATATCGGTCATATGCCATCATGGCCAACAGGAAGCATTCAGTCCCCAGGAAAGAGCCAAAGAAGAAAAACTGGGCAGCACATCCATTGAAAGAAATAGCTTTG